ACAAACGATCTGAAAAAGTTATTGTTGTCATTGTTCTTGAGGGAGCAGCAGAAGGACATTCAAGATCAGAGGTCACACCCTCCTTCCCACTGTGAGATTGTCAATCCAAAATATTTGTGAAGAAGCCACACGGATTCAATAACCTGCATAATATGAGCCTTTTGTGTCCGGTAGTCCCATGGACTAGAGCTCCCCTCTCCAAAATCAGTCCTCTGTTGGACATTATCTGAGAGCGGACTCCCAAGGCGGCTCAAACGAATTCTCCAGTGTTCAGACAATGCACTTACTTTAATTGTATTTCACAATTTCTTTTAGTCCTGTTTGGTTAAACTCTTTGGGTTTCCTACCCCACTTTTCTACTTGTTAAGGTACCCACAGTTACCATATATCATAAACTGACTATTCTAATCTTTGGAATGGGAAAGGAAACAACAACAACAATAACAGTAACAGTAACATTACCAGAGCACAAAATGATCTGTTTTCAGGCATTAAGCAGTCAGATAGCTGTGAATTTCATGAAACGAAGGCCTTAACTGCCATTTCATTGTGATGTTAATTAATATTCTTGGAATGGAAAAGAATAGGAGATGCTCTTGGTTGGCTTTACTCAGAGGATCATTTGATGCCAATATGAAAGCCAAGGAGAGGAGGCAATTATGCACACGTCACATGCATCCTAGTTTCAGTATGGAAGCTTACATTTCAAACCTAAGGTCAGGAAATAACATGAAAAGTTTTGCTACAAAGTCTAGACATGAGGAAGATTTAAGAGGAGGGGGAAAGCACATTGCAGGTGTCAGATAATCTGGTCTGATTATCTGAGCTGTGCTAGCTATGGGGGAGCACTTACCCTTCAGTCCAGCTAGAAGTTAGCAGGGTAAGAAGGAACAAACCAGAATAACATAAAGACTAGCAACAAGGCTCAGGAAAGCAGACAGGAGCTCTAACCTAGCAGCTAAAGTTCTTGGGTTCGAGCAAAGATTGAACAAGAAAACTTCAAACAAAACAAAAGAAAAACAAAACAACCCCACAAACCAATAGTAACTATAATCCCCCTAGCTATTGAAGACTATTAAATATTGGCAAAAATAGAACGATTTTCAGAAACATCCAACTTTGGGGACCCATGATATCATTAGTTAAGAAATGGACTTTAAAATGACTCTCTGTAAGTAATATGTCAAATAATCATTGACTAGGTATCAAAGCTGAAAATACCCCCTTCCTCCCCACCTCATTCCAAATGAGAATTAAGGTATGGATTCTTACACTTCCACTAATGCAGAATAGACAGAGATAAGGTGTCCCAGCGAGAGGCCACCTGACAAAATAAGTTATAGTGATACAAAACTAGGTAAAACTCTAGTGTAAATTTGGATGTTTCCGATACGGGCAACAGTGGCCTTAAAGATTGGAGAACTGCAGGTATTATTTGAAAAAGTTGAGTAACTAGGTACCAACTTAATCTTTAGAATTTTAACTGAAAAGGAAAAAAATTAAATCAACAGCACACACAAAAAACCACAAAAGAACAAAAATAGTTTTAAAAGTTGATGGAACCCTCCCAAAATCTTTGTAGAGTCACACACAAACTAATGAATAGCAGGATCTATTTTTTTTTTCCATTTTTACAATTCCATATAAATGTTTCACTCCATTCTTAAATGTGTCTTTTCATTTTGAAATTGTAAGAAAAATACAAACTGCCTCAAGAAGTCTGTTAAACTGAATTTAGAGATTCAAACCAACTTACAATAATTCCCAAGTTTCCTAGACTATAAAACATTCCATTCTCAAGTTTCCTTGGCACAGAGAGCAACATGACAAGATTGGAGGGTTTATTTTTCTCTATTTCCCCCCAAATTTATGTTGCTGCTTACTCTTCCTTAGGTTCCGTTGATAGTATAAATACTAATAGAACAGTGACAAATTTAAATCATTGAAATGCTGCTGTCAAAATATTCAAACACAGGATTTCATGAGATGTGTGCAGAGTAAAGTATTTTAAAATAACCCTTACCTTTTGGAAGTCAAAGAAATCTTTTTAAAATGCAATACTTGATTTTTAAAAAACCTTTTTTGCTAGCTAGAGAATTTGTGATTAATTTTTATGCAGTAATTTAAACAAATGAACCAAATGGAAGTGTAGGACCAAATTTACTATTTGATAGTGTGTTATGATTATTGTTCATTTTTATTGCTTTGTAGAATTCGGTGACTGATAACAACCTGGTTTTCCCAGGATTGGGACATGGGACTTTCAGTGTGCAAATTAGGGAAGTCCCAAGGAATGAGTTAGTCATTGTAAGCAGGAGCTGACACTGGGTTTCACTGAATCACCCATACAGAGTTTGATCTGTTTAATAGTGATGGCTGTATTTAAGTAAAAGCACTTGTGAAACAATTTGTGAACTAACCACTCTTTTAAAGCAGATGCCCTTAAACATTTTGATATATCCCTCATCCTCGCCACCATTTGACCTTCTTCATCTTCTAGAACTGGGTCAATGTGATAGGCCTCAGATTCTTCAGAGAATCCTGTTCCTGGGCACAGTTCAAAGAATCACTAGAAGAAAAGTGGCCCTACTACCAGGTAGATAAATTCTGATGAACCCCAGGGGCATGCATTATCTCATCTCTCAGACCACCTTGTGTTCTCTCTAAGGATGGTAGTATTTATCCCTCAAATTCTAACCTTCAGGATTTTGCTGGTTCCCAGTCAAGCTGTGTATATTCAATTGAGCCTTTTGCTGATACCTAATAGCTAGCATTTAAATTTCATGACTATAAAATCCTACCCACAGAGGCAATCTCCATCAAGATGATCTGTGTATTTTCATGAAGAATCACTCCTCATCTTCAGCAACATCCTTCCCTGGTCTTTTTCTTCATCTTTTTTGACACTAAGGCTTGAACTGGAGCCTGGTGCATGCTACACAAATACTGTATCACTGAACACACCCTAGCCTGTCTCCACTGAATTTTACCCCATCTTCCTTCTTCTCTATCTAGTAGCAAAAATTGTGCTAATCGCAAGCCATGTTGATCTTCTTAATCTGGGCAGATGATACAACAGACACTGAATGTAAGGTGAAATGACCTCAGAAGAATTGGAGATTATTTGGAAATAAGGCCAGTGTTTTCCAAATATCACCTGAGATATATGCTTTATGAGATTGACTGGATGGTGAATATAATTAACATTTTTTTCATGCAAGAATGATTGCATTTCAGGTGGATGTGATGTGTGATTTCCAAATGTATTACAAAAAAAGCCATCAGGGAGGATGAAAGGAAGAATTCCTTCACACAGGTGTTTTTATTGAGAGAAAATAAATATTGGGTAGGTTTTATCTCACTGAATGACTGCTGCTGTCTCTATTGGTCTCAGATAAACCTAGATGCCAGAAGATAGTAAGAGAAAACAGGAGGGAGGGGCCTCAGTGATGGAGTCAGAGAGAAGGGCTGTCCTTTGGCCTCCACTTCCCACCCTATGGGCTGCCTTAGTCTTTCGTAAGTTTCTGTGCAGAAAGCCACTGTGATAATGTGATTGTTTACAAGTTTCCACCAAAGAATGCATTTTCCTTTAAGAAAACACTGGCCCCTGGTAGCACCCAATGGAGTCTGCCATGTAAAAAGAGTTGTAATTTGGTATTTCAAGGTGAAAGAGCATAGGCCGGGACAGAAATGGACATGGAAGCTGCCGAGTTTGTTTAAAAGAGACTCAATCTCTAGTTAACTGCTATAGCTGCAAAGTGATTCTGCCTCTATCTACATTTTGCCTATGATATACAGAGAGGAGATTGAAAATGCTCTGTGGGACATGGAATTTCTGCTTTGAGGTCTTTCATTTCCTTTCCCTTCCCTGCAGCTCTCCTTCCTCAGATATTTGTAAGACCAGATTCTTGGAATTTGGTCATAAGCAATAGACACCTTTCTTGATCATCTGTTTGTCTAATGTTCTGTTTTCCCATTCATTCACCAGTACATGACCTTCCCCATGGGATTTCTCCATGTCTGAAGTCATGTGATATCTGGGCTCACTCATCTGCTATCTAGACTCTTCCAATGGGACGCAGATGTTCAGAGAGCAGGGACCTCATGTGTCTGCAGCCTTAGTCTGTCTCATTTCTAGACAAGTGCTCAGTGACCCAGATGGATTCCGTAGGTTCCAAACTAAGGTGAGGGGTCACCAGGACCACTGCAAAAATAGCTCGTACCTCTCAGTTAACCCTGGCTGACTTGATATTCAGGGTAATACAAATATCTCTATTGAGGGTGAGTGTTTGCTTGATTTCATGATTTGTGTCTGTATTTTAATTTGTTTTAGTAAATTGTCTCCAACTATATACTAGTTTTCACCTTACCCTGTGTATCAGAAGTGTTGGGAGAGAAAGTCATTCCTAGGTAGCAAGAGGATGGGCCAAAAGGACGAGAACGTAACCAGGCAGAGGCGAGTGAGAAGCAACTGAAACATGCACTGGCTGTTCAAGGAGGTGGTTTCACTTCTGGGTATCTGATCTTTTAGCTATGAATGGGATTTTAGGTACTTTTTCCCACGGCCTGTGATAATGTTATCATTTATTTTTAAATGGTTCTAAATTGCAGATTTAGTTGATTTCAAATCAACGCTATTTTAAAATTACACTTAATAAGGAGAAATGAAGCAATGTCATACATAATCTACTACATTTGAAAGACTCAGACAAATACATGTTTGACTGTGAATTCCAAACTTGCACCAAAACAAGGAGAAATATGCATAAAATACACTTTCCTTTGTGTAATCCTTGGTGGAGAATGTCAAGTATTGCACTTTAAAATAACTTTCATCTATCATTGTGTCCCAACTTCCACCCTGAATCCCCTGTATGTTTTGCAACAAACGTGGTTTTGTGAATCCTAAATATAAACATAACTAGTTTTTTTCATTTAACTTTGGAAGATCTGCTTTACTCTGAGGAACTATCTGGTAAAGCAATTTCATGTTTACTTACAGAATTGTGAGATGGGGGCATCCAGCTGAGGCACGTTCCCTCCCTTGGCATTGAGCTTCTGGACCTGGGTGGGGGGCACGGGCTTGTGTGACTGCCCCGTGGCCCGGTACATGGCTTGGACCCATAGGATGCGGTCCTGCTCGTCATCACTGGCGAATATCACCGTGTCTCCTTCTTTGACTGCGTTGAAGAAGGCGCGCCCCCCCTCCAGACCTGCACGGGGAGGAAAGAGCGAGTTCTAAGCAAGACTTGGCAGTTGCAGCACCTTCTGCTTGAGCCAGAGAAGGGGAGGAGTGATTTACCCCACCCGAGGACGAGGATGAGGATTCTGAGAAGCACATGGTCATGAATGGGACCATGGCTCTGGAGAGATGTTTGGAGGCTGGCTTGATGGGATTGCCAAGCAGGCTGCCTACAGGGTGGTCTCATCTGCCCATCACCACACTGCTTTCCCCTTTACAATAGCAACGAATCCTCTTGGGGTCCCTGCTCCCCTGCCAGCTCTTGCTGTGTTGTTCTTCTCTTTACAAGGAAAGGTCTGTCTCTACCAAGGCATCTGAAACTCTTTGGCACATATGAGTCTCCTGGGCATCTGCATTAGTGCAGTTTCTGATTTAGAGGCCTGGAATGGAGCCTCAGAGCCTGCTTTCTTTTCTTTATTTTTTTGAGTTTATTTTTTTATTTTAAAGAGAAAGAAAAAAATAAAACGAAATTTAAAAACAAGATAATTAGAGGGTAACCATGGCTATTACATTGTGCATTGTTACCTTTAAATTAGTTAATTAAGTACAAGATATCAGCATTTAATGGTCCAAACAATATTAACACAAACCTTTCTTTTCAAAGAACTAAGAGAAATTAGTAGTATAACTATCTTTTTTATATATAATTGCTCTCAGCTTCTCACACTAAGGAGACAATGTGATATTTACACATGCAAGTCTGATTTATTTTACGATTATGGTCTCTAGTTGCATCCATTTATCTATAAAAGTCTTGAGTTTATCCTTTCTATGGTGAGAAGTATTCCACTGTATAAAAGTACCACATCTTTTTTATCCTTTCCTTGGTTGATGAACATTTGTTTTCCAAATCTAGCTATTACAAACTGTGCTGCTATAAACTTGGGTGCACATATATTGCTGTGGTATGATGTTTTTAATGCTTCTGGAAGGATACCCAGCAGAGGAATAGCTGCATCAAATGGGGCATCTACCTAGTTTTTTAAGGAATCTCCACACTGATTTGCACAGTTCATGCGCCAGTCTGAAATCCCACCAATAGTGGAGAAGGGTTCCTTTCTCCTCATATCCCCTCCAGCATTTGTCATTGGTTGATTTCTTGATAACCATTAGAGCCTGCATTTCTTACCAGCTCTGAGAACCACACTCAACTAGCAGCGGTCTCTTTCCTCCTAATTTTGCTCCTCCATTCCAACTGCTCCTTGACTGAAACTTTCTTGTGAAGACCTTGCATTGCCTGACATTCTGGTCCATCATGATCAGCAGCACTGGGCATACACTCCTGTCTCTTTGAAGCACTTTCTCCACTTGGTTTCCAGGAAAATGAATTTTCCTTTTCTTCCCTGGCTGTTGCTTCCATCTTGTCCGCTGACCTCTCTTCTTACCCCTCCTGACCTTTTGCAGTGACAGTCTTCTGGTATCCTGTCCTCGCACCCCTCTCTGCTTCTCCCCCATCCTTGCATGATGTCCCTGAACTCTCACTAGCATGAGCATACTGAAGGCCTTTACAACTCACCTCACCCTTGGACTTCTGCTGAGCTCTGGCTCTGACCAGGCAATGGCTTTCTTGACATCTCCACACAGATACCCAGTGGACATGCTGAGCTTTCCTTACTCAGCACTCTCCTGCTGAGGCCTCTCTCCATCGCTACAGAAGCTGACGCCCATGAAATTCTCAGAATTCTATCCCTAGGACATGACTAGATGTGAGTGATCCCACCCATGCTACTGCCCCGAACCTGACCGTGATCGGCTCCCTGGGCTTCTGTAACAGCCCCCTGTCTCTGCCTCCAGCCTCACTTGCTAAAGTCAGAGTCATACACTCAGTGTGCGAGTCAAGTTGGGTCACTGCTCTGCTCAAACTCACCAGTGGCTCTGCATTCCACTCAGACAAAAAGCTCGCAGCCCTGCTCAAGAGGCCCTCCTGTCACTTGTCTGCGATCCTAGTATTCCCTCTGCCTTTTGTGTAGCTTGCATTCATTTCATGGCACTGGCCTCTTGCTGTTCCATGGACACCCAGGCAGGGCGTCACCCTAGATCTTTCAGATCTCTGCATGATCCGCACTGTTACTTCCTGCATGCCTTTTTCAAATTCACATTCCTGACAAGGCCATTCCCTGACCTCTAGCCCTTCCCTGACCTCGCTCCTCTTACCTTACTTAATTTTTCTAGCAAACTACATACTTTATTTTGCAACATATGGACAAGGAGTTTTTGCCTGTTTTGTTCACACCCATACCTTTGACATCTAGAATAGTGCATGGCACTAAGTAGGTGCTCAACAAATATTTGTTGAAGGAATGAATAAGTTACAGTAATTTTGCCACAGGCAATTCTCAAGGTGAAAATTTAGAGGAAAGCACAAGTGTCTCACTGGGCTGAGGATAAAGCTGTAGTGTATCCATCAACATATTTCAGAAGCCTGCATTCTAGGATAGTTAGCACTTTCCACCAGGGAATAAAACATAATATCTACACCAGCCTCTTCATTATCTCCCCAGGTATTAGTTAAAAGTAGAGAAGAGAATAAATGAATGATTCATATCTCAGAATTTGCAATGATGTCCAGTTAATTAACTGTGTGACACTGGCACTGGTAAAGATTTCTGGTGACATTAGGACTTCTCTGTGGTGACAATATTAATTCAGGTGTCAGAGTGAGTTTGGGTTGGAAGTTTTTCACTTAGCATAGCCAGAGATTAGGACAATGTGATATAAGGTTGGAAAGGTTTTTCAGTATGTGGGGTTGAATCCAATGCTCAATGCACACTGAGCTACATCTTTAGTTCTTGGTTCTTTTTATTTATTATTTTGAGACAAGGTCTTGCTAAACCAATAAATTGCCCAGGCTGGTCTCAAACTTTTGATCCTCTGTAGTGAACCCTTTCCTGTCCTCATTTCTGTCCAGGAAGGTTTATAACTGTAATCCCAAGAAGTTATTGAAATTCTAGTGAATTCATTCCAATCTACTGCTTCTAGTGCAACCCAAAGTGAAAAAAAAGACACTGAGACACATACCCAGCTGTGGGGAACCTACGTCCAGTCAAGATGGTGGTGCACTGGAACAAAGGCCTAGACCCAGAGCCCAACCTGGGTTTTATTAATTGTCCATGGCAAGAGTGACTTGGAGATGAATGACAGTGAGACTGGTGGGAAATATGTGACTGTGTTGACTATCGTGAGCTGGGCTAGGTAAGAGGTCTGAGATCACCTCTGCAATATGCAGAGGGCAAGAAATGCAGAGATATGGAGAGTAACCTGCATGACACAGCTGAGATAATAGCTAATAATTTAGTTCTGATGTAATTAATATCTTTTGCCCTGGGAAGTCATGACCTCTTTCTTGAGGCTCGATCCCAGCCGACAGCATTGAACATGGCTCTCCATCCCACCAGACTCAGCCTCATATTTGGGGAGTCACTGGATGGGGTAACACTGACATGTCACTTTGCCTTAGAGATTAAACATCAGTTCTTCAGCCAGCCCAATTTACACTGCTTAAAGTCAGTTGAAGGGACAAAGAAATAACCTAGCCTACTCTGTACACATCAATACATGGAGATGGGGCCAAGTTTACCCAAATGGAGATAGTTACTCCTCTTTTCAAAGAGAGTCGTCTCTGTGGTTCCCCATGGTCCTCCTGCCTCAGCCTTCTTGAGTGCTAGGATGACAGGCTGCACCACTATGCCTGGCTCAATAAAGTTTAATAAAGTTTTTTGGCAGTAATGATTATGTCTCACTTCTTGTGAAGTGTATGTAAATACGTATGACCTGGAAAGGGTGACAAGCTGGAAAAACCTGAGGGAACCTAACGATAGCATGATAAGGAAAATTCTGGAAGGCATGGAGGTAAAAGAGCTTTAAAAGTGGCTTTTAGCTTGAGCATCGAGTAGTTAAAAGGAAGTATGATCTGCAGTCTTTGGTAATCTCAGGCTAGGCCGCTGGGCTGCAGTCAGAGGATACCTGGCTAGAAACTCCCGGAGGGGCACTCTCTCTGCCCCTCCACCTTTCAAAGGCTTGGAGCTACTGTCAAAAAGGCAGCCAGGGGCCCTTGGGGAGTGGTCAGCTCTCTCTTCTGCGCAGTCATTCAAAAGTACAACCGGAGAGATAATAAATGTTCAGATCGTTCTCTACTTCTCCCCCAGTCCTATGATTAGGTACTATGTGCCCTTTCCTAGCAGAGGAAACCATCACAGCTACCCTGGAACACAAGACTATTCTGTATGTGGCAGAGTTGGGCTTCTAATCCCCAATGTCTGGCTGCTCCAGAACTGATAATGGTCAGCTCTGTACTACAGGAGACCAAGGACATCCTAGAGACCAGAAAGAAGGGAGAAGTGCAACACAGTTTACAGAGACCCAAGACAGAAGAAAGCAGACAGTGACACAGGCCACAAGAGTCACAGACTCAGCAAGAGCATCAAGTTCTGCAAAACATAATGGGTGACAGTGCACGGGCTCTCCAGCGAGAGAACATGGAATGCAGTCCCCTGGGAAAGGAAAGATACAAGCAGGGATGGCAAAGACAGGAGGCAGATTGGGCAAGGGATCCCTGGCCAGCGGCTGGGGCCAGGGGTGCAGATTGCTTCCCAATAAACTGCTCGGATGTCATCCTCTTCTTATGGCAAAAAAAAAAAAAAAAAAAAAAAGGCCCATATACATAGTCTGTGAACATAGTTGTTTGATATATGGTCCATGACATTATTCTGAATGGATATCCTTTTATTTGAAGATTTCATTGGTTGGAGAGTTGAGAAACTGTTGTACACCTTTTGAATCACACCCAGAGAAAGGTAAAGTGAAATATTTCCAGTTAAAAAAGATTAGCTTGTGTGTCAAACTTACCTACAATAATTTACCAATTCCCCAAATTGATAGCTCAAGGATTCTAAATAGGTAGAGCTCATTTAGCAAAAATGCTTGGGTCTAGGTAACCATCGGGGTCCTAGAATGGCCCTGAGGCAAGGACATCATCCAGTTCCAGCCCTGTCGATGGGAAAGGCCAGCTGTAAGAGGCTAGAGCCCAGCAGCATCTTCACCAGCCTGCTTCACCGCCACCCTGGGGAAAGCCAGGACTGGGAGAGACAGAGATGGATCCCAGCTCCCCTTGACCTGCACACCTTCCTGCCAGGGCCTGCCTCAAATCTCTGAGGACGTGGCTAAGATGTCTCTACTTAGCCTCACAGCTGGCAAACTTCTTGTACATAAAAGGTCCCTAGATTGCTCATTTATTCTTCGTCCTCTGCCTCTGGCTCAGGCTGGGAGTGGGGCTCAGAAACCTCTATTTTTAATTAGTGCTGTTTAAGAAATTCCGAGTAAGCAGGGCAAGGCGATCTGCAGCTTGAGAGGCTGAAGAAGCCTGGGCACTCACAAAATCAAAAGAGAAAGAGAGGACGGGGAGAGAGGGGGGGGGGAGAAATTATAGGAAGGAAAGAAGGAAAAAGAGGGAGAGAGGGAAGGAGAAAGGAATCGAGGGGCTGGGGATACAGTTCTTATCTTAGTATGAACAAGGCTTTGGGTTCAATACCCAAGGCCAGAAATTTTTTTTTTTTTCTTTTTTTTGGTACTGGGGAATTGAACTTACGACCTTGCACTTGTCAAGCAAGTGCTTGCACTACTGAGCTAAAACCCCAGCAGAAAAGAAATTCTAAGTTAAATATTTTCTTAAAATCTGACAGTTGGGAATATTTAAATCTCCATGCTCAATCAAGTATTACTTAGAAAATATAGGACTTGGCACAGGAAAGGGCAGAGAAGAAGCTGCTTAATATCCTCAAGATCATAATCAATTTACTTTCCATTTACATCTTTCATAAAGTGAATCTATAAATTATACCTCAGGGATCAATATTAAGAGAAAGAAATAAAAAAATCCTTAGCAATATATATGCACACTTGCTCCTCACGCATGCAGACGGAAGAGGTTTTTCCCTGTTCCTATCTTCGTCACTATAGGAAAGGAATTCTGCTGTCAGCTAGTAAATAACAACTATCCTTTTGCCACTGATACTCACATAGCAACTGACCCAGTTAGAGACCCTGTCTCAGCCCCCCCCCGTACCCCCCCGTACCCCCCCCTCCCGCCAGCGATAGGGCAGCCTTTGGCCTCTTAGTGTCCCAGCTTCTTCACTTACAAAGTGGAATGATGACCCAAGTCCCATACTTTGTGAGATGCGCTGAGAGCCAAATGCAATCTTGGAGGAGAGGGAGTGGTGAACTGGCTTTCAGGAAGTTCCTGTCATGAGCTGCTATTAGTTTTCTTTCCCAGACTGACTCCTTAGCCTCCTGTGTTAAGCTGTAGGTCTTGGGAGTGACTGTATTTCTGCACATGGAACCCGGGACTTGAGAAGAATGCAAACTGTTGCAGCATGGTCTGACACCCGGTTTCTCATTGCAGAGCCCCTCTGGTTAATAAGATGTTCTATAAAACATTTAGGTTCTAACTCTAGTTCTGTTCATTGCGGAGGATTTCCAGGCAAAGATTTTACGCATGTCTGACATGGTCAGCTCTGCACCGTGCTTGGGAAGGACGCAAGTAACTCATGGGAGTCCTCAGGGCTGGGATTCGGGGGATGCTGCTTTCTCCAAGAAGGCCAGACCAAGGCCTTCCCTGCCTTACCTTTTCAGGTTAACACCCCGTCTTCTCTCAAACTCTGTTTTTCTTTTATGTGTATTTTGTTGCATGTGGAAGAGCAATATGGGAGTAAAAAAAGGTTTTGGGCCAAATAATGCAGTATGGTTGGAAATGCTTCCCTTGTGCAGATTTGGCATAAAAATAAACTTCTCTGAGAGAGGGCTGTTGGTGCTTGTTGTTCATTAATATGCTGAAATGATTTCGCACCCCCACCCTCATTTTGAAGGTTCTTTGAGGCTGATTTCTATTCATTTTTTCTGGGAAAAAGATAAAATGGGGGGGAGGGAGAAGTGTGAGGGGGCAGGATGTAAAACTTATGCAACGTAGAAGTTACAAGAAATACTTCCATTTATGTGGTTCTCTTAGTTACATAAGGCTGGGGAGCTGCGATGCCTCTGCTTAGAGACCGGCATCTTAAGAAGAAATGTTTTAAGGGACTGTGTTCTTACCAAGTCCCACTGGCTAATCTTTCCAAGTTCTTGAATTCTAGTTGGGTCAAGAAGACATTATTTGCCAAGCCCACACCTCACTGGCGAAAAACTACACACACACACACACTCACACACACAGTCTTTTACATGGAAATTCTTTTTTTAGAAATGCATTTTAGCATGGTATGCTTGATGTGCTTAAAGATACACAAAAGAAAGATGCACATATTTTCTTTGGGTTTTCAATCTGAGACTCCTCTGGGTCAAATGAAAATCCCAGGCCGGATGGCATTGAATCAACTAGGAGGAAAATTCACTAAGCAGAATGTTGGCTGTACTGGTCACCCATGAAACCCTGAGTCAACACTGAGTGCCTGGCAGAAATATTTACTAATGTTAACATGAATATTGATATTTATCAGTTGGCCACTGATTTAAGTAGCATGCGAGTTCTGCGGGTCCAGTGCCTAGAAGCAGGGTACCTGGCTGGGGATCAGTGTAGTCCACAGTGTACCCGTCCAGTTGCAGCAGCTCCTGAGGCTCCGCCTTCTTCTCTCGGTAACTGCACATGGCAAATGTGTACTGACTGACCTGGGAAGGAAAAGTAGACCATAAAGTCGTCCCTCATCAGCTCATCCTCCCCCACTGAGATGCTCCCCATTTTTCCAGGTCCTTCCCCCGAGTCCAAATCCAGTTTCATCACCTTCAACACGTGTGACTTTAGCTTCCTTATCTGTAAGCCTGTGCTGTTGGCTTACTGTGAGGACTGAGTGGATTCACACAGGGAAGACTTAGGTCTGGTCATGACACTTGGTGAGTGCTCCATGAAAGTCAGCTACATGGTTATTGCTGATGTATGCCAATGTTGCAGTTGAACATCAGCAATTTTATAGGTTCTGCCCATGCTGACCAGGGGTTGGCTGCCTTGCTTATGGACACAACACAAGCCTTTTACTTCCCAGTTAGAGACTCTATCCTCATTTATTTATGCATTTTGAAACAGCATTTTGTTTTTGGTGGCCCTACTCTCAGCAGAGAGCTGGACGTTTCATTCTACCCCCGCCCCTCACTGAATGAGTGCTTTTGGTTGCATGGCGAAGTCTTCCCTCATCCCAGACAAGTGCAAGTGTGACATGCTGTCACAAGCAATGAGTGCTCGATTGCTAGGTGCCAGTCAAAGTGGACAATTCTCAGCCCCCGATGGCATGGCCATTGTCACTGGTGCTCTCACTCCCCACCACGTAGCACCCGTGCCAGCACGGGGTGGGTGCTCAAGGCTGCAGGCCCACCTCCAGGAGCCTGTCGTCATGGTGTAACCAGCCCTGGCATGGATCCTTGGCATTTCTACATCTGGCTTAGCTGCAAGGAGCCTGTGGGGAAGCAAGGCCTCGCCCAGCTTCGGGTTAAGCTCTTGGGCGCATTTGCCATCCAGGGATGTCAAATGTCTGGGCGAAGGAGTGCCATGTCCTAAGCATTTAGTTTCTCTTATTGAAAGAGACATTTCCTAAGTGAACTTTGATCCCAGCAGGGAACAGCTGCAGTCTGCTCTTTGGTGAGATCTGTCTTTTGCCTTTTGTTATTGTTTTTAGTGGAAATAAGAAATTGGTGTTCTCAAGCCTTACAAAACTCTGCCGTGCTGTCCCAGTCCTGACAGTCCCTGTGCTAGACGAAGTGTCCATGCGGAGCCTCTCCACGGTCGGTTTGTCTGTTGCTGCCCTCTGTTGGTTCATGATGAGAATGTCATCTCCCCACGGAGTTTATAGTGCAAGGTCCCGAGTGAAACAAGCCAGGGCCCACAGAACCATTATCTTAAGTCTCTGTAATATGCATGACAGCCAATAAAAGCCCTCTGAATGCAAATGGGGTGAAGGGGATCTGAGATCTCACCCCACTCTAACAATCCATCATTTCTTTAAGCCTTAGAGCCCCTGTCTGTATTTCACTTTGTTTCGAATGATCATTTTGCTTTACCCACCATGCGCAGCATTCACAGAGCAAATACCTAGCCCCCACGTCTACACGTTCTGTGTGGACACAGCCCTCTTACATTTGGGACCAGCACTCTAGTCCTATGCTGCTCCGTCAGTGCATTCACCTACTAGACTTTAGCTCCCTTTGGAAGGAGGTCTAGGGAGTCATACATCTTGGCTCTATTACACCGCATAAGCAAAGTCTCTCATCTAATGTGCATGCACTAATTGGGTCTCATTGGTATTAACGAAGTATGTACAATTCAATAAAGAGATATTTGCCTCCGCCCTAATTGATAGGTTACTGCAAGCGCAGTCCCAGGTCATTCCACCCTGTGGCCAGCCCTGTAAATCACAGATCCCTTCAAACCTTCACACAGTGAAGATTACACACTTTGCTGGAATGTTTTCCTGGTATTTTCTACCTGATAGTTCGTCTGGCAACATGAGAAATGCTATTGTTTCTTCATGTGATTAGCCAAACAGGGAGGTTCTGATACTCAATTGAGATCAGAAAAATATTACAAAACAAAGATGTTATTTCAGTGTTTGCGCATTTCCTGCTACTCCCTGTTTGGGCCTTTGCTCTCCTGTCCCTTCGGTTTTGGTGGCTGACTTCTTGTAGCTCTGTCTCCTGCTGCCCCCTTCTGGTTGGACTGTTGAAGTTACACCAGGGAAACGCGGTTGGTTTGAACTGGTAGATAAATGAAAGTTGTGTTCAGATTATTTTTATTTAGAATTTGAACATTTAGATTAGAGAACAGAGGAAGAGAGAATGCTTTTTGAATGATTCTTTTTATGTTAGGTTTCGCAGAACCTTAGTTGTTCTAGAGCACTTGACAGGTGGGGGCATAGATTTGGAAATGTTTAGTTTTAAGCCCCACAAGGAAGTTATTCCCAATGAAACCCCCATTTCTTTGTCATAGAAGGAATTTCTTTATTCTCCCTTCTCCTCTCTCTTATTTCCCTTTCTCTTCCTCCTCTTCCTCCTCCTCCTCCTCCTCCTCCTCTCTCTCTCTCTCTCTGTCTCTGTCTCTCTCTTTGCCCCTTTGTCTCTGGATTGAACCTAGCTATGACTTTGAGCTAGTCTGAGCTGCACTCTCAGCCAGGGAGCCTGCCTGCCTGCCTTCCTGCCTTTCTTCCTGCCTTTCTTCCTTCCTTCCTTCCTTTCTTCCTTTCTTCCCTTTCCTCCTTCTCTCGCTTTCTTTTTTGACAGAGTCTCACTAAATTGCCCAGGTCCATGTGGGTAGAACTGTATCTTTGGCTGCAGGTAGGGTAGATGGGTTAAGTGGCTCAGCCCTGACCAATGAGCATCATATCTCCTTGGCAGGGCAGTGATTGGTGGAAGGATGGGCACATGACCATGCTGGGCCAATGAAACTTCACTAATGGCCTATGGGGAAAGAGAGGTTATGTTTCCACTAGGTTGGCCAGAATTTTATAAGGCTTGAGCTGCCAGAATCTATCACTTAAGAGACAGTGCCTGTGGATGGCGCCAGCTCAGAAAAAAATAGAGCTAAGACTGTTTATAAAGGGAGATTGGGTCTTGGTGACACTGCCTAACCCCTGGATCTAGCTATACCGGAAGACTCTTCAGTTAATCACTGATTTAATTAATAGTATAGTTTTTGTCTTTTAAAACGTAAGCTAGTTTGTGTTGTTTTTGTTACTTGCAACAAGAATACAAATATAAATGGCCTATATAGGGTATTTGTCAAGTTGAGCACAAAAATATTCATTGAGACTCAGGTGCATACATGTCTTACAATTCATTTTTGTGGTTAATTTAATATTGTATTCTCAATAGTACTGAACTACTGCTGTACATAAGGCTTTTTACATTATCCAACATTTTTTTAAAATCTCATTCAGAGTTAGTGTCTTTTCTGAAAGGTTGAAATAATAGAGTTTTTAGTCATAGTTTCCATAGAAAATCAGAAACAGAGGATATGGCTTTAGGACCACATTGTTTCATAATATGCAAAGTAAACAAGTTCTAGAGCATTCTATACATGTAAATGTCTTTCATCTCATACCAACTATTGCCTTTGGGCAAGATACTTTAATCATCCCGACTCTCAGTAAAAGTTCAATGTAAAATTAGGGAAAGACTTGTCTTTTCTAAGGTATAGAGATGTTGCGAAGACTAGCTTGACAAACACTTTGTATGGACAATAAAATGTAGGTAATTATCTGCATTAGTAGAGAAAATGCAAATATTCAAATACCTTGAAACTGGATGAAAAAGTGATTTAAGACCAGAAATTTTTTGAACATAGAAGAAAAAGTACTTTGAAAAGAAAAAGTCAGGAGTAGATTCTCTGAGTTGGCATGGTGATAGGTTGGTTTTCTTTCACTGTTCACTTTATACACCCAAGGTGGGGAGTTCTACCTGTCAAGTGAAACTCTTTGGAATTGGCCTCTGTAGTATTACCAAAGCTTTGCTCAGTGATTTGATTAGCTTTACTGACAATGGTGATCAGTGTGCTTGGTCCTTACCAGGTCTCTGTGGATTTACAATGAGTCTTCAGCACTAGGGTCTCTGCACTAGGGTCTTCAGCTAAATTCAAAGGGCAAATATTAGAATTGGAAAGTTTTGTCATGGTGCCTGCAGGTAACCATTTGTGTAGGAACACAGTGTAGGCTTAGTCTGGACAACATAAACTCTGGGAGGGTGCAGCCTGAAGCCAGGGAGATTCTCCTTTGTTTCAAATGACTTCTAAGGCAGTGTTTCTCTTAGGGCCATCTTGGACCACCTGCATTAGTATTTCCTGGGGTACTCGGTAAACACATAGGTCTGTGGGCCCCAAAGCAGATCCTCTGCATCAGAGTCTTCTGAAGGACACCTTGGGACCTGCACAGTCACAATGTTCATGTAGGTGTGCAGGCTCAGACTTGGAGAACAGCGTCTCGCTGTGTAAGACTATGGTGGCCCTGAAACCCTGAGCAATGACTTCATTCTCCTCACAGATTGGCAGACTCTGGCTGTATCATCAATGTTTCTAGCCCCCATCCTGATAAATTGCATTTGCTACTGTGGTCCTACCCCATCAAGGATGTCCTTTGTTCCTGGCAAAAAGTTCAATTATCACCTGCCATTTGGGTCAAACCCCCCCCCCCCCACGTAGTAGCACCAGAAGGGAAATTTTCAGTTGTCCTGGGTTACAATAAAAAAGTGTATGTGTGTGTGTTAGGAGTGGGTGAGGAACTGAAATTGAGTATTTTTTCTTTCTCCAAGGTTTTTAAACAAATTTTCTTGTATTAAACATAATACGTTAAGCCATAACTATGTCAGAAGTTGTCACAGCCAACTGTGTGTGAAATACATTCCATAAAACCTAACATTGGAATCAAAGAGGACAAAGAATGGGACAGGAACTTGGGCTGATGTCCTTTCTGTTTTGTGGTTTTTACCCTGTCCTCCCCAGAGCTGCTATGCAGGCTACCTGGGGTGTCCCCAGGTCCCAGCTCCCTCACTTGCCCTCAGACTTGCCTAAACTGTGTCTCCTGCTGTCAGTTCTGTACTTTGACTTTCAGGGTTGGGATTTGACTGGAAGTGAAAATCCCTTGTTTGTACAACTGCATTCCACACTGCATGTGGATACTGGATACTGTGGCCACCACTGGACAGCCATCCTGCTTTTAAAAAAAAAACTGAGACACTTCAGCTTCCTCTGAATTGGGTCAGGACTGAGGACCTTGAACTTCTCTCCTGCAGCTGTGTAGGAACTGAGATTGTTTTGAGGGTGATGGGTTTTCCCTTTTCAATTTGTTAAATTCTTCTCAGTGGGATCGATTAATTTGGGGAGAAGAGAAAAAGAGAAGAATTCAGAGATAACATAGTATTTTCTAGGGTGGCTACCAAAACAGTTGAGGTACTGACACATCAAACAGAATGGAAACAAACAACCTGAGCTCTTGTCTTTTCTCCCATGACGATGCAGCTGTGGTGTCACCATTGCAGGTCATGGAGGGTGCTGGGGTGAAAGGGAGGGTCTAATCCATGGCAGTGATTCATGAAAGTTAATGAGAATTGTGTACATGAAAAAAATCATGAAGTTCATCTCTCCTGCTCTTCTAGAAAAGCCCAGGAACCCTAGATAGGTTGTGCCCTTTTATGATTTATCATAAGCGAGTGCATAGATTACTTTTCTGCTATGGACAATTCCTGTATTCTCTTGGAGGGTCAGTGTGAAAGCTCTAAAACATTTGTGTCCGGTTGCATGGCCTTTTTCATTTCAGAACACACTGTGTGAAAGTGCCTGGACTCACTGATATTTTTGGCACATTTCTTCTTGTGTGTTATTTCCTGGAGAGTTTTCTCTTTTAAAGTCCCGCCCAAATCAAGAGGTCAGCTACTTCTAAGTACTTTGTCATTTTAAAGATGTGCAGAGCAAAGTCACATGTCTAGTGGAGCATCCACTGGCTGCCTCCAAAGACAGGGAAAACTCCACATCTTGGTGAGAGGACCATGGGTCCACATCATCTGGGAAGATGGTGTTCTCCTGATCACGTGATCTTTCCTTTCTGAGAACCACTGCTTCTTCTCCCTCTTCCCTCACCTTCTCTCTTTCATGCCAAATAGTTCCCGAATGACTGTGCCAGTAAATATGTACAAGTGTGGTGGGGGAAATGAGGAAGGACACAAGATGAATCAGAATCAGAAGCAGTCCCAGACCACAGCCTAGCAGGGGAAGGCTCCTACGAGACACTATCGTGCCAAACGCTGTGGAAGGCACTGAGATGGAGAAATGTCCACAATTCAGCTCTGCCTCTTCTTGTGCCCTCCCTCCCCAGTTATACCACGCTCTCTGTAGAGTGGGCATCAGCTGTCTTTCCTGCCCATGGTCCATCTCTCCTTCTGGGAATGGCATCCTGATTTTGTGCTGGAGAGAGGCAGCCAGCCCAGTGGAGCTGTTGGTCCAAGTGTGGCCTTTTGCCTTTGTTAAAGTTTGAGTGTGTGACCCATGACTGGCTAATTCAGTTCTCTTTCTGAAACGGGACCAAGTGGAGTGATTTGGATAGAAAATGATCAGAGCCACTTTGTCCTATGATTGCACTGGGAAAACCAGGATTTCTGGGGCTATTCTAGGCTTTGTCCCTAGCAGAAGTGGGTCATTCAGCCTTTCAGCAATCCTGTGAATCACCTCTGAGCCATCCTGGATGTTCTTTTTTTAAAACCTCAATTAGTTGAATCGACTGCTTGTATATAAAAACTGCAACAGATAGCCAACCATTCTAGAAGCAAAAAACCAGACCTTATAGCTCTCTACATCCTCTCACTACGCCTTGCACAAAGCCCTGTGCAGGAAGTACTGGTCCCTTGACAGTAAGAGCAAAGGTTTCTTGAATGAATGTCTTAAATTGTTTAGCCAGAGATGATTCGGAAGGGTAGACATCACTCCCAAACTGCCCTTGTAAATAATTGCTGTGAGGCTCTGTTGAGCCTTATACCAGCAATGAAAGCGAAGATTGTGCCTTGTTTCTAGACGGAGAGTTGCATTTTGCCTTAGTGGAGACGTACCAATTCGAGTACCTTTGTAGAGGGAGTCTTTCGCAGTTCAGGCTGGGCGGAATTTTCAAAGTCATTTAGACCCAAAAGGGAGCTGCTTCCTACTGAGATTTCAGACTTGATAGTACTCTAAATACTAGCAAAGCACCTCCAAAACACCATTTGTTACTATCTTACAAGTTGATTTATTTTAGAGCCCAGTATAAATTAAAATTTTATAAACTGATAATGTAAATGCTGTGATGGAGCTTGCAAGTTAGTATGAAAAAACAATTCGCTGTGTAACAGGAAGACTTTGGTTAGCTTTGTCTAAAAAAATAAAATCTCTCTGGAAAGAAATATGCCATCAAGCATAGTTGTGGGAGGTTGCTTAAGACTCATGAAAGCCCCAGGCACCGAAGGAGTAGAGTGCCCCTTACAGGGAACTCAAAATCAAATTCCTTAAATAATAACATAGAGGCAAAGCCCACTAAGTTTTGCCATGACTACCTCTCAGAAATATCAAATTATTTTAAGACAACGTTCACGTCCCTACTGCCTAAGAGCTATACACTTGCTCCTTCCTGGGGTCCAGCAGGCTTGGCAAGGACCCGGGCAGGGATGGGGAGGGTCTGCTCTTTTCCATGTATCTCTCACATCTCTGTATTCTTGGATTTAAAAAGAATAAGTATAAATTAATTTCAAGTGTTGAAGTGACATAAAAACAGGGAGGGAGCACTGGGGGGCCCTGTAGCTACATGAATGTGTTCCGTACCTTCCTTGAATGGTGGTTACTTGGACATAGAGCTGAATATTCGTTTGAGTTTTGTGTGCTGTATATAAACTGCACCTTAATCAACAAGCATTCATTCATTCTATGATGTCTGTAACACTGAGGACCCTTAAGACTGATATTAAACTTGAAGAGTTACCTGCACCAACACAAAAAACCTTTTCTTCCATCTCTTCCACACGTTCTTACCGATGGCCCATAAATACCTAAGAGAAAGAGAAAGACAGGAGCTGAGTTAATGCCTGAGGGAGTACACTGCTCCCAGGGACCTGGCACACGCACCAGGAGGCACACAGGCTCAGGGCAGATGCAGACACGGGGACTCTGTAAGTGAGGACAAGGCAGTAGGTAGTCTGTGACATGGAGGAATCATAGCCACCCTTAGCAGATTCCAGACAATACCTTGGTGGCTTTGTGTGTTGATGTGTTAAAAGGCTTTTAGGTTGGGCAACACCAGAGTGATGTTTTGCAAGAGAGAGAGGAAAGGGAGCGTGAAGTCTTACAACTTCCACTCTTTCACCTCTCACCAAGGTTATTTTTGAGGAAAACCTTTCCCTTCTATGCTCTGCTGTAATCCTGGCACATGCAGGGCAATTAACACAGGGCATGCTCCCTCCTTCTTCCTCCTGTCTCCAAGCAATGGGATTTAATCTTTACACGAAAATAAAATGAGGAGAGTAAAAACTACAAAGACATACATGGCTCAAAGCAGTCTGGGCTTTGAAGATCAATATTATAATTCTTTCATGAAATATTTTGTCTGCAGCGGCTGCGTGGCCTTTTTCACGAGGGCCAACCTTGATCAAGAACGGGACCCTGTTCACTTTCAGATAACTGAGCATGAGGACCTGTGACCTTTGAATCAAAACTGGGCTTGTCTACAAACATAAACGTCAGACAACTTCTAAGTGTTCGCTGCACACTGAAGCAGACAGAACATCCAGTGTGGAACATAATAACTAATGTATATCAATGAAATTTTTGCCCATGACCTATTTTAGCGGTTTCTAAGAATGGCTGGTAGGCAAAATCGACTGAGACCTTCAACAGGAATCCTGGGAGCCACGCTTGTGTCCTTCAGCTTCCTCCTGCTTTCTCAGTCATCGTGGGCACCTGATTTGACTGCCTGAAAAGTTCTTCCTCTGCTTGTTTTTTCTACTTTGAAGTCACTGCCTCCTGGGCTGTACAGAGAATGCTGCCCCCAATGCTGTGATTTATCTGTTTTCACAGTTGCTATTCCTCTTCCACTGTTATCTCCTCGAGTGCTGGAACCCTGGTCCTTCTTTCTAAATTCCTGGCCCAGAGCCTCATTTTCTTTTGAATTCCTCTCAGCTCCTGATCCCTGGTAAGGTGTTGACAGATGCTTGTTCTATTACAGTTGGTTTTGAGTGTTACACTTTTGAGAAACTAGCGTGATCTCTAAATACTTAGATGAGATATTAAAACGTGGTGTTAAAACCTACCACCCAGCATCAACCAAGTTCTTTGAACTTTCCTTTCTGACCCTCAGTTTCTCATCTGTACAATAGGGATAATAATAGCCCAATCATAGTAAAAACAATATTATGTTGTTAGATAATAAAATATAATAATAATGGTATTTTGTTCAAGGATTAAAGTAGAAACATAAAGTGTTTAGAAAAATGCAGGGCAGAAAATAAGTAGTCATTAACTGTATTGTTATACTGTAATTCCTCATTCACAGCCAAGAAAATGGAATGAGAAAGCCTGAGTCATTTTTGCAGGGCCCACAGCTGCCGAGTGATGCGATCAGAATTTAAACTCAGGGCCCTGTGGTTCTGAAGCAGCCTCTACCACGCCGCGTCCCCCATTCTAGCCAGCAAACAGGTGTATTCAGTGAAATGCGAGCATGAGGAACGAAGTGGGAGAGGTGGGCCAGGTTACTTAGGCACAGAGATGAGAAGTCCTGTGTGCTCCAGTTAACAATTATATTCTGTGCATTTCAAAACACTAAAGAAAGGAATTTAAAGAAATCAGCAGTGCTTCCTCATAAAGAAATGATAACTGAGGATATGGCCGCGTTTACCCTGCTTTCAACATTACACAATGTGTACGTGCATCAAAACAGCTCCCGGTACCTCCATGCATACGTACAATATTTATGTTTTCATGCATAGTTAAAAATAAACTGAAAAAAGTTTTAAAAATGAATTGCTACTCTTATTGAACAGAGGGAACTTCTGGTTAGAAGCTTCTGAAAACGAAGCTAGTGGGATCAGAGAGAAATTCACAGCTCTCCTTAGAAAACTTCAGTTGGTTTGGGTGAGGGTTGGGTTTCCCCTGAATGCATCACTCCCACGGCATTCTAGGACTCAAACCAAGAGGGAGCAGAGGTTGTGAAGTGGGTTTCCCTCCAGCCAGCCCGGGGACTTTGTGTCCTCAGGTTGAAATGTGCTCACTGAACAGAATGCAGAGCACCTGGAGCAGATGCGAAGGCAGACACACAGGTGCCCCCCTGACAGCTGCTCCCCACGGACTGATCCATCTGGCCAGGCAGGCAAGGGTGCCCTCAGCGCTCCCTTTGAGCTCTCAGCAGGTGTGGAGCTCTGAATTGCCAATATGTAAGCTGGCATTCCAGTGTAGCGAGCTGTAGTTTGTTCTATTGGTCTGTTTTATGTCTCAAACTAGGGGGAAACACCCCAGTGGCAGTTCTGGCCACGACACTAATTCTCCTGTGACTCAGCTGCCCTGTGCCTGTTTCCTCAGCTGTAAAATGAAGACAACATAGTATCTACTATCAGGACTACTGCAAGGATTCATAGAGGCGTACAGTCTCTGGCACGCAGTAAGCCTATTGCCAGCTGAGGCAGGAGGATCACAAGTTTGAGTTCAGCCTAGGCAAACTGGCAAAGTGAGACTCTGTCTCAAAATGAAAAACAAAAAATTTCCAGGGGAATCCAGCTTAGTGCAAAGGCCCTGGGTTCAGTCTGCAATACAGAAGAGAAGGTGAAAGAGAAAGATGAGGTAAGAGGGATGGAGGGAGGAAGAGAGAGAGAGAGAGAGAGAGAGAGAGAGAGAGAGAGAGAGAGAGAGAGATATTCTGTTCTGCTAGGGTTCATTTTGGATACTTTGAATTTGTTTTTGGGCATGACTGTTGGAAAATAAAATGAGGTACACCTGTCTGGTTTTGGAACTCTGAAATCCATTGGCATCATGAGTCCCAAGTATTCTTTCTTGCAGTGTTTTGTAGAACTCATGTCATCAGGTCAGTGTCATCCCTGTCATTTGCTGAGGGTGTCTGAGTTATATGACAGGCTAGAGTATGCCACAAAAGGTTAAAAGGAGAAAGAGAAGACAGACTCGGGTAAAGAATCTCCAAAAGTCAATGAGTCACAGAAAATCCCAAGGCTTCAGTGTCCCTCTGCCCTTGGACCCCTTGGCAGGCAGCAATCAGGCAAAGCCCGTAAACTCTCCACATGCATCTCCTTCTGGGATGCCTAGGCATGAGCAGCACTGCAGGAAAGGACATTTTCCAGGATCTTCTGCCACTGGCACAAGACCCCGGGGAGGATGGGTGAGTGCAACATGGAAACCAGAGAGGCTGAGGTTTCATCTTGCAAGGACCTGGGCCACATGTTCTTGCTCTGGCTGAGGAGGACAGTGAGGCTGGCTGAGTGGGAGTTGCCCTTTGCTTCCCATGGTCCGTGAGCTACTTGGATGCATGATGGGGTTAGGAGGCAGGGCTCACATTTATTGCCAGTTCTCTTTTATGAGTATTATTTTTTACCTTTTAAGTTGATTTTTAATTGGCAAGTAAGCATTACATATGTAAGTGTACAACAGGATATAGCGAAATGCACACACTGACATCCTGGAATACCTGAATTGCACTAATTTATGGTTGCTTCACATACTCATCATCATGTTTATGGGAAGAGTGACTTAAAATCTACTTTCTTGGAGATCTTCAAGTGTCTATGGTTATTAATCGTTGTTACACGACAGAGCTCTTGAACTTGTTCCCACTTTTAGATATGCTTCATGAAAATGTCTTATAAGAACAGAAGTCACAGTGAGACAAGAGCCATGGTCCCCTGCAGAATGCTCCCCAATCTTCTTTGGAGGGGTGGAGAGAAACAAGGAGGGAGCTGCAGGTGCCTGGGCACAAGAAGTATGGGCTGGAAAAGGGTAAAGAACAGAAGAAAGTAGGCAGTAATAAAGCAACTACTAATACCAAGGCCACCACCACCAACTCAGTGAATTGTGGCACTTACCATATATCAAGCTTTGTTCTAAGTGCTCCCCATTTAACCCTTTAATTCTCATTTTAACCCTTTCCACTCATTTACTGCTTACCACAACCCTATGGAACAAGCAGTATTGTTACCTCCGTGTTATTCTGAGGTTAAGTAACTTGGCCATAGCGAGTAAGTGTCTGTGCCAAGGACTCCAACAGATTGGCATTTTAAGAGAGAATAACACAATAAAGAAAGTAGAAACTAATATAATCTAAAAAGAGTCAGAAAAAGAGGATGAAAAGGAGCAAAGATCAAATGGTACAAAAACAAAAACAAAAACAGAACAAAGAGCAAGATGACAAATAGCAAAATGATGAACTTAAACCTATCCATACCAGTAATCACATTAAATATAAGTAGGTTAAGTATTTCAATTAAAGGAAGAAAGATTCAGATTAGATTTTAAAAATCTATGGATCTAAATCTATCCTTCCTATAAGAAATACACTTTAATTATATGATAAAAGTTAAAAATAAAGGAATAAAAAGATTTACCATACTAACAGCTTTTTTTTTTAAAAAAAGATGGATTGCTATAGTACTGTCACAAAGAGTAATTTCATGTCAAAGATTATCCCCAGGAATAAGGAAGACCATTTCACAATGATAACGGGGTCAATTCACGAAGAAGACTTCATAACTTTCAATGTTCATGCATCTCATAACAAAACTCCAAATACATAGAAACAAAAAGTAGAACAAGGAGAATGCATCCAGCATTACAGTTAGAGTTACATATCCCTTTCTCAGTCACTGATAGGAAATCAGTAAGGAGATTGAGCATATGAACAGTATTAACAAACAACTTGATCTTTTTGACATTTAAAAGTTAGTAAGTGTCATGGTTTATGTCTGTGGCCCCCAGACCCCATGAGTTTGCATTGTGCATTTGTGATTGGTTCATTGTCTAGTGCTTGGATTGGTGGTGTCATTACTCCACCCACATA